TCAATACCTTTATTGTTGATTTTAGTTGCTGGTATTTGTTACAACTCAGTACAGTACGGATCTTCTTTTCAAGATTCTTTCCTTCGTCTTACCTGTTCTTTTTATTTTCATAAAATATTTCCTTTTTCTCACTAAGACATATAGTGTAAGTTCAACAAAACAAATCGGTTATTTAAATATTTAATTGTAACACCTACAATGCCAAATATATTCAAAATGTTGATAAGAAAAATGAAATAGTTGCAACAACTAATGGAGCAAATGAGAAATGACTGGAATTTGTTGAAGGATAAATTGGAAATTGATATTATCAAAAAATATGCTAGTTATATGAACATTTTCACAATAAGTGTTATAGGTAACTTGTAATTATATTTTAATATATTTTTACTGATGAGACAAAAACTATTGTGGCATATACATATATTTCGATGCTTATTTCAAATAATTTACATAATCATGTTCAAGTTAGATTTATTATTTCCTAGTGTTTTGTTCTATTTGCGTATTCGTTTATGTGATATTTCAACGTCTGCCATTGATCTTTGATGTTATGTTACCATTGAACGGATCACGACCTTATCACCTTGTCATGACCACGGAATATTTTGTCAGTCAAGATAAATATATTCAGTTTATATTATTACATGAGTTTTTAGTCATTTGTATAGGATTCACTACAATAGGGAGCACTGGTGCGATACTAATTACATTTGTATCGCATGTATGTGCATTACTTAAAATTGCAAGGTAATATAAAATGCACCTAATACTCCTGGTCTCTCTCGATCACTTGCTTCAATTGTAATACACATTAGTAAATTTGTACAGCTATCGAATAGAAAATGTTATCGACAGAAGTATATTAGCAATGCCTAGTCCCAAAAAGCAGTATCTACTTCAACGGAGGATGGTACATGCAGTTGTTATGCATCAGAGGGCTGCTGAGTTAGTATATTTTTATAGTGAAACCTTATGTCAGGTATTTTATTTAGGAACTATTTCTTATCTGTTATATTTAATTGTAAGGTTAATCAATCGTAATTGCATTGAATGGATAGTTACAATAAATACAGGTAAAAAGTACAAATTAAAAGTTATAATTAACCGATAACCAAGAGTTAAATCTACATTGGTGTTTGCAGTTAATTTTGTAACTCGCTTAGATTTATCAATATAATATTTGTGTATAAGAATTGATTCCAATATTTTTAGACAGCTTTAAATGAGATGTTTAAATATTCAGTACATTCGTGATGAACCGTT